CGAGAAGAAGCTTCAGTGAGAAGAAGCTTCAGTGAGAAGAAGCCTCAGTGAGAAGAAGCTTCAGTGAGAAGAAGCTTCAGCGAGAAGAAGCTTCAGTGAGAAGAAGCTTCAGTGAGAAGAAGCTTCAGCGAGAAACTTCAGTGAGAAGAAGATTCAGTGAGAAGAAGCCTCAGTGAGAAGAAGCCTCAGTGAGAAGAAGCTTCAGTGAGAAGAAGCTTCAGCGAGAAGAAGCTTCAGTGAGAAGAAGCTTCAGTGAGAAGAAGCTTCAGCGAGAAGAAGCTTCAGTGAGAAGAAGCTTCAGTGAGAAGAAGCTTCAGTGAGAAGCTTCAGTGAGAAGAAGCTTCAGTGAGAAGCTTCAGTGAGAAGAAGCTTCAGTGAGAAGCTTCAGTGAGAAGAAGCTTCAGTGAGAAGAAGCTTCAGTGAGAAGAAGCCTCAGTGAGAAGAAGCTTCAGTGAGAAGAAGCCTCAGTGAGAAGAAGCTTCAGTGAGAAGAAGCTTCAGCGAGAAGAAGCTTCAGAGAGAAGCTTCAGTGAGAAGAAGCTTCAGCGAGAAGAAGCTTCAGCGAGAAGAAGCTTCAGTGAGAAGAAGCTTCAGTGACAAGAAGCTTCAGCGAGAAGAAGCTTCAGCGAGAAGCTTCAGTGAGAAGAAGCTTCAGTGAGAAGAAGCTTCAGTGAGAAGAAGCTTCAGTGAGAAGCTTCAGCGAGAAGAAGCTTCAGTGAGAAGCTTCAGCGAGAAGCATCAGTGAGAAGAAGCTTCAGTGAGAAGAAGCGTCAGCGAGAAGCTTCAGTGAGAAGAAGCTTCAGTGAGAAGAAGCTTCAGAGAGAAGAAGCTTCAGTGAGAAGAAGCTTCAGTGAGAAGAAGCTTCAGCGAGAAGAAGCTTCATTGAGAAGAAGCTTCAGTGAGAAGAAGCTTCAGTGAGAAGAAGCTTCAGCGAGAAGAAGCTTCAGTGAGAAGAAGCTTCAGTGAGAAGAAGCTTCAGTGAAAAGAAGCTTCAGCGAGAAGAAGCCTCAGTGAGAAGAAGCTTCAGTGAGAAGCCTCAGTGAGAAGAAGCTTCAGTGAGAAGAAGCTTCAGTGAGAAGAAGCTTCAGCGAGAACAAGCTTCAGTGAGAAGCTTCAGTGAGAAGAAGCTTCAGTGAGAAGAAGCTTTAGTGAGAAGAAGCTTCAGTGAGAAGAAGCTTCAGTGAGAAGCTTCAGTGAGAAGAAGCTTCAGTGAGAAGAAGCTTCAGTGAGAAGAAGCTTCAGTGAGAAGCTTCAGTGAGAAGCTTCAGTGAGAAGAAGCTTCAGTGAGAAGAAGCTTCAGTGAGAAGAAGCTTCAGCGAGAAGCTTCAGTGAGAAGAAGCTTCAGTGAGAAGAAGCTTCAGCGAGAAGAAGCTTCAGCGAGAAGAAGCTTCAGTGAGAAGAAGCTTTAGTGAGAAGAAGCTTCAGTGAGAAGAAGCCTCAGTGAGAAGAAGCTTCAGCGAGAAGAAGCTTCAGTGAGAAGAAGCTTCAGTGAGAAGCTTCAGTGAGAAGAAGCTTCAGTGAGAAGAAGCTTCAGTGAGAAGCTTCAGTGAGAAGAAGCTTCAGCGAGAAGAAGCTTCAGTGAGAAGCCTCAGTGAGAAGAAGCCTCAGTGAGAAGAAGCTTCAGTGAGAAGCTTAAGTGAGAAGAAGCTTCAGTGAGAAGCTTCAGCGAGAAGCTTCAGTGAGAAGAAGCTTCAGTGAGAAGAAGCCTCAGTGAGAAGAACCTTCAGTGAGAAGAACCTTCAGTGAGAAGAAGCTTCAGTGAGAAGCTTCAGTGAGAAGAAGCTTCAGTGAGAAGAAGCTTCAGTGAGAAGAAGCTTCAGCTAGAAGCTTCAGTGAAAAGAAGCTTCAGTGAGAAGAAGCTTCAGTGAGAAGAAGCTTCAGTGAGAAGCTTCAGTGAAAAGAAGCCTCATTGAGAAGCTTCAGTGAGAAGAAGCTTCAGTGAGAAGCTTCAGTGAGAAGAAGCTTCAGTGAGAATAAGCTTCAGTGAGAAGCTTCAGTGAGAAGAAGCTTCAGTGAGAAGAAGCCTCAGTGAGAAGAAGCCTCAGTGAGAAGAAGCTTCAGTGAGAAGCTTCAGTGAGAAGAAGCTTCAGTGAGAAGAAGCCTCAGTGAGAAGAAGCCTCAGTGAGAAGAAGCTTCAGTGAGAAGCTTCAGTGAGAAGAAGCTTCAGTGAGAAGCTTCAGTGAGAAGAAGCTTCAGTGAGAAGAAGCCTCAGTGAGAAGAAGCTTCAGTGAGAAGAAGCTTCAGTGAGAAGAAGCTTCAGTGAGAAGAAGCTTCAGCGAGAAGAAGCTTCAGCGAGAAGCTTCAGTGAGAAGCTTCAGCGAGAAGAAGCTTCAGTGAGAAGAAGCTTCAGCGAGAAGCCTCAGTGAGAAGAAGCTTCAGCGAGAAGAAGCTTCAGTGAGAAGAAGCTTCAGTGAGAAGAAGCTTCAGTGAGAAGAAGCTTAAGCGAGAAGAAGCTTCAGTGAGAAGAAGCTTCAGTGAGAAGAAGCTTCAGTGAGAAGAAG